TCGTAAAAGGGTGGCAGAAAGCAAGAAAGCCTTGCCACCCCTGCTGCCACCCCAGTTGGCAGTAACAAATTCAAAGAAAAGTTATGACCAATTTAAGAGCGCGAATCTCCCATGTCTGACTGCAGTGAATGCAGCACGAGATGACGCCAGAGCGGCAAGAGACCGCTTTGTTTGGAAAAGCCGGGAGTCGGAGGAAAGGAGACACAGGAGGAAAAAGGTAAAAACTGATTAAATATCTATCAAGAAATAAAATAATAATGAAAGCACAGTGTGATGCTGATTTTGAGATGAGGAAAATTAGGTTGAAGACCGTTATTTCGCTAACTATACATGTAATGTTAGCTAGGTATGACGTTAGTTCTGTGTAAAGTAGGCTACAAAAGCTAATATTGATTCAACGTCAGTCAAGGAAAACATTTGTTGGGATTCACAGGACCACAGATGATTTATCATTTGATAAAATCTAAACTGGAGATTTAAAGGCTTTTTCCTCTGCATGCTCTTTGTTCTCCAAACAAAGAGAGCTATGTGACACCATCTCCACAGGAGGTCTCACCTCACACCTCAGTGAGACTCAAGTCCCAAAACTTGATTGGACAGGACCTTTACAGTGACATGTGACTCTGATGTCACAGGCATCTGTAGATCTGTGCTCCCTTCAAGCCTTTTCTCTCTCTTGCTCCAGCTGTTGAGCAGTGGACACCTCTTTCCAGCTGGGCCTGGAACAGCAGAGGCCCAGACCCTTGCGCCACAGCCCCAAACCACTAACGGGAGGGCAACTGATCACAGACTCTCTTGAAACACAAGGTTTGCAACCAGCTTTCCAGCAACAAGGAACTAAGTGAGTTAGCACCCAGCGTCTAACTCTGCTAAACCCTGAGCGACCAGCTTCCTCAGAGTTTCACCTTTGGAACAAAGGACCCAACAAAGACTGCACTTGGAACCATCTTCCCAGCCATCTTCTGCCGGCTAACAAAGCAGCACACCACTAAGTGACTTTTTCTCCCATCCATTCAAGGATCGGTAACGTAACAACTGGGCATAGCTTATCACAGCTTTACAGGCTAAGCAAGACTATTTAACTTGTTGTATGTGATTTGATGCTGTTCATTGAGTTATTGTTGTGATTGTTTGCAGTTAGGTCATTGATTAGTTGGCTTCGCCAAAGCTAAGTGTTTAGTTTGCTAATACTGTTCACAAACAGATTCTTGCATACAACTAAACAATCTCTGCACTAATCCAGACCGTTTGCAACATACGTCACATTGACACAGACTCATTAACAAATAGACTTTCACCAGAGCTACACCCAAACAGACATCTCAAAGTTCCCGCTTCTTTTCCTTTGTCTTTGTCCTGACCACACGGTCAGACAAACACCTCCCCCGACCTGAAGCCAGCCTTGATTCAGCCATTTTGGTAGTTCTCTGTTGTCAGCTATTTTGTTTTGTAGGCCAAACGGCTCTTTGATTACAACACCCGCCTTTGTCTTTCTCTTCTTTCTCTCTCTCACACACACATACACACACACATATACACACCAAGCTTGTATATAGTTAGTTAGAATTTGTGTGTTTTGGTTTGCTTTGCTAGTTGTGAATAAATATAATTCTTTGGAATCATACCTGCTGTCTGTTTAATGTTGCACAAGAGTGAATGAATAGTCAGCCTCTGCTGCGTCAAGAACTCCAAAGTCCTTCAGGCGTTACTGTTGTTACTGTCATTCATTTTATTATTAATCAAAACTCCAAATTAATAGTTTAGCGTATTTTATGAGACTGATATCTTTAACTGGCTATCATTTTTCCCTTTACGGGAATGGTGCCCCGCAAGGTGATTTAATGTTAATTAAGTCACATTATTTAAATGATGGGGATGAGGGCTGTGTGAGTGCGCGTGCTGGTGTGTATGAGCGAGCTGGAGAAGAGAGCAGCAGTGCATGGTTTGAGCTAACGTTACAGCTAAGTCCTTGTTTTGTTGGTTGTTTTGGCGTGGTTACGGCCAACAGTAACCCGTACTGTGGATTAATAAATGGTGGTTTGCCGAATAACCGCATCATCCTTCCACATGTCCTGGCGGACGCTACAATATGAATAAGAACAACAAATGACAAAAAGGGACATTTTACTATAAGGTGCATTTAAGAGACATTGCTTAGACTTCTTCAAATAAATATAAATATTCATGTTTGCTTGAATATGAATAATTGGGGAAACTTGTAAGTGAGAAAGTGTGATGAGATGGGGACAGAGTTTTAATATGCTCAGGTTAAATTCCAAAATTAAACAAATGAACCTAAAAATACTCTCCCAGGCTAAAATTTTAGTGTGTGTTAACACAGTCTGATGGTTATAACTAATCAATGACAGTTCCAAATTGATTATGTTTTTACTAGTTGTTATATTATATAATTAGTTCAGATGTAATGCAGTTTGAATCTTTCCTCCCCTCCATCTTCTAGACGTATCCAAGTCCAGGGTGCCAGTGCAGTCAAAGCGAGAGAGTTTCCCTAAGACCCTCCAGGGAGGAGCCAGGAGAAGCTTCTGCAGCGACTGGTACAAATCTTATCCCTGGCTAGAATACTCGCAAACATCAATTATCTGTGAGCCTTTTTGTGTAATTTGTTGATACAGCAGCTCAGATTTACATGCATGAAATGTCCCTTTCATGGCACCTTAACTGTTGTGAATGCTGTATATACTGTACTGTATTTCTCATCACTTTATCAGTTAAAACCTCATCTGTCAAAAAAATGTTCAAGCTACTGAGGGACAAATGGGGAGAATGTGTGTTCTGAGTAAACAATAAAAGCCATGTCCAGTACCTTGTTTGAGTGCCGTGACCCATTTATTTCCACAGTATATTTATGCTCACCATAGTACAGCTCAGTCCATAGATCTTCATGGGTAAGTTTTTCTTTGGATAGTTTCTTCTTGTACAAATGCTGCCTGCAACACTGCTACTCTGACACAGTCAAAAACTGTTTGCTTCCTCTCTCACACATCTGCCACTTATTACCTGTGTCTTACCTTAATGCCTTTCCTGTGATAATGCCCCACCTACAGTAGTGTTACCATACTTCTGTCTCCTATTAAGTGAGATCACATTGTATGGTCTCTTATTCCTAATATGAACTGTTTCACATGAAACCTCAAATGCAAGACATTGATTGCATGAAATTAAGTTTGTCTGTATGAGTTTGTAAATGGCAGCCCGTGCTGTTATGTAGTGTGTACTCTTTCTCATCAAACTGTGATAACTGTGATTAAATTTAGTATATATATACGTCTGCCATATGTTGCCACCCCTCAAAAAGTTTCCTGCCCCCCTTTCGCCATCCCATAAATATTTTTCTAGATCTGCCCCTGAAACCAAATAAATGATTTTGTCTCTTAATTAATGTTAATGTAATTAATTTAAGTGTCTTAATGAGCAACTTTTTTGAAATGATTTAAATAATTATTTTCAGGCATTAAGTTATTTTCAGAATGTTTCTCATTATTCTGAGAGACTGACTCAATATTTTCAGATAGGGGAGACCTGGGCCAATTGTAACAAAATTTTAGGTTTTCCTTAATAACTAATGGGTTTATAACACTGATGCTGCAGCAGATAAAGGTGCTCATTTTAATAACTTAAATACTGCTGGGTGGCTTATTGTAACCTGTAATAATATAACCGAGCAACAAATTTATATTATTGTACAAAAGTACTGTAACTAATAGGCCAAACTAAATCTATAAAATAAAAATAGTGCAATAAAAGTGTAATATTCGCATCTGAGACAGTGGAGTAGATTAATAATGTAGCATAGAATGGAAATACTACCAGGCAAAGTACAAGCACCTCTAAATCTTTGTTAGTTTTTGTGTTTCTGTGAGGGAAGCACCATCTCATAGTGACACCTTGTAATTGAATAAATGGGCGTGTTACAGTGGAATCAAGGCACACCCCCAGAAAGGTGGGTGGAATGGTATTTGGCTGGAAGTTGGCAGGCTTCCAGAAGGCTTTCGAATGGCGTAAGAAATGTGAAGTGGCTGCATCTGTAGCTTATACTGGAGTTATGCTATGTAGCGTGTGAAATAGAGTATGGTGAATGTGCTGGGAAAGATAGTATCGGAACGGACACTACCTGGAGCTCGCATTAATGGTGCCTGGGTTTGTTGAAGGCGGCAGTGTTGTTTGGGCTGAGAAAGCCATGTGTAAGGTAAGGTAAAGGTTGTTGGGTTGGTGTGGGGAGCAGTGACAGCTGGCATTAGGGGACTGTCTCTGGGATGCCAGAGATCACTGTCTAGCCTCCTGGAGGTGTCGTGGGAACAACTAGATGAAAAACTGGTGAAAGAAGGTTCCAACCTGATAACCCCAAAGACGTGTTAGTTATCACTGCTCACTGGTCTGTATAGTTAAGCCTTGCCATAATAGCTTATCATAGGGCTTAGGAGGTTATTCACTAAGCGCTGATCCTTTCTCTAGAGCACAAATTTCTTGTGTTTATTCATACATGAGGTGTTCTGGGCACATCCAACTGGTATGAGGCCCCTGGGCAGACTCAGAACATGCTGGGGGGATTATAAATCTTATCTGGCCAAGGAACACCTTGGGAAACCCCAAGAGGAGCTGGAGAGTGTTGCTGGGGAGAGGGATGTCAAGAGTACCTTGCTCAGCCTGCTGCCCCCTCAACCTGGCCTCTGATAAGTGGATGGAAATAGATGAATGGTTTGATGGATGGATGGTATCTTTCAATACAGTGCAATAAAATGTCATTACCAGGAGAAAGTAATAAAGCACAGCTTAATACAGTAGTTGCTTTGCTCTTCACATGTGACACTAATGGAGAATGCTCCGCAAGCCATTTGCATGTGGGACTGAGAAATCTTTTCATCCTAAAAGAAGTTATTATGTTTTTGTCTCACTGTTACTATGTTAGATATTCAGTGTGCCATCTTTGTTGAAGTATTTCAGATCTAACTAACTTTTTTTTAACAAATGCACTAACTGACCTGGTTTGTATCCTTCTGGTTCCGCCTCTGAGTAAGACCTTGAAGAGGAGGTGAACAAATCGCTGTTGGCATTACACCTCCTTCTGTCCCTCCTGGAGGAGTGGAAAGGGCATCTGTTGAGCAGCAAAGCTTCCTCATCTGATGAAGATGCTGATGATGCTGTCGTGTGCTCGTCTGGCTCAGAACTTAAATCCAGCTCCTGTAAGACACAGATGTTGGTTTACAGTCATGTGACTTGCACAAAGGCCTGCATGTCTTCAACAGCTGCTAAAACACCAGCTTCATGCCTCATGCTTGATTTAGTGGACTTTAAACAGACATGTGGACAGTCCAAATAAATGTATCATTGTGTCTGAAGAAGCAGCATGTAAAAAAAATATCAACTCATAGCACATAGTGTACAAGACACTTGAATTTTTTTTAGGAAATAACCAGAAAACTACAACTATTGAGGAAACAGTACCAACATGGCTTTTATCTAAATAAGTAAAAAAAAAAAAAAAAAAAAAAAAAAGAATGGGTTACAGTTCTGGTGTAGTGGTTGGTTCACAGTTATGAGTTATAGTTAGTTATTATGAGTAATCTTCAAAGAGAACATTGTTAAAAGCAGAATTAGAATGCTCTAATTCATAGCCATCATACTTTAATCATACTTCAGCTTTCTGTTTGTTGACCTTTCAGGAGAAAGCAAGCATTTAGATTCAGTGAGGTGCAAATCTCTTGTGTCACTTTGAAAAACTGATTAAACCTACCGGAAAGGAAAAAGACGTAGTAATTTTGACAACATCAAAATGAGGCTACTCAAAAGGTCCATAAAATCATGATTTTATTTTGGACGCTGTCATACTTCCATAAAGCTTTAAAGCATCTTTATATACGTTGTTACTTATATGCTTACTAGGATTGTAACAATACATGTATTTGTATGGAATTGTTTGGAATGAGGCTTTCAATTCGGTACGCATTACATACTGAAAAATATATTAAAGTATTCTATTACATTTGAAAATAATATATACAGCTTAAAGCAACACTTACCTTTCTGGAAATTTTGCACTTTTCTTTGTTTAGGTTAAAATGCTATTAATAAGCTGATGGCACACTGAAATGTAAGTGAATTCCACCAGAAATAAAAACTCATAATTACACCATTCTCATATGGTTCTAAGAAAACTCCGACAAATCATTGCATTCGGACCTGTCTGCCATCCCCATGTGGAGGCCTCCGACTGACGTAACCACTTGTGTAACACCCCCACCCCGGAGTCTGTGAGACAACAAATAGGCTAGTAACAGGGACGCTTGTGGATATAAACTAGTAACAGGGACGCTTGTGGATAAAAACTATAAACATGGTGCAACAAGAAGTAAATTCTTCAGCGCAATACAGTCGCGAGTTTCTAACAGACATTAGAAACCACTGCAGAGATCTAACGCTACAACCGAGAGAGCTCAGGATGTGTAGCAAGCTTGGCCTGCTACGTCGAGCTGGCCCTGACATGACCATGGTTTCGCCTGGAGCTGTCCCAACGGGGAGCTTGCTGGACACGAAAATGGATTACAGCCGACTGTGGAGATCCACTCACCGAGGACTGAGGGACTGCTGCGTCCTTGTGTTCACTGAGACATGGATGAATGGTTACATATCAGGCTCCGGTGTTGAGCTAATGGGGCTAACATAGTGTTGTTTTTGGCGGCCTGTTTTAATTTTAGTTTTAGTCTAGTCTTTGTGTCAAACTGTCATTTTAGTTTTTATTAGTTTTAGTCATGTTCATACTCTTTTTTGTCTAGTCAAGTTTCAGTCAACTAAAAGTCTGAGCATTTTAGTCTTATTTTAGTCAGAATAATCCATGACTATTTTCGTCTCGTTTTAGTCGACGAAAACTGATGACATTTTAGTCTAGTTTTAGTCAATGAAAATTGTATTTTAGTCTCTTTTTAGTAATGCAATTCTATTATACCCAGTCAATATAGTATAAGTACCTAGTATAGTATAACCAAACCAAAATTTTCTTTTCTAAATTAGCTCCTAGTTAGAGCTGAATATATATTTATTTATACACCAGTTCGTTCTGACCGAGTAATTTGATTGGACGAGAGGCATTCCGTGAGTGATGATACAGAGTATAACATCACTGGGACTTGTAACAGTAAAATCACTCCGGTCACAGGTGTTATAAGTAAGGGATAATGTATAATGAGCCGGTGAATACTGGGAAAATAACTTCCAACAGGGGAATAGAACCCCGACGCGCAGTTGCCTCTGAGCAACTCTGAGCATTGTCAGGGCAGCGTCCCTAGCAACGCTGGGCTACATAGCAACGGTCATTACACAGTAATATCAGACTTCTGAATGCCATGACTGACCAATAAGAATACAGCATTTAATAGAGCCGTGTAATAAATATAAATACAGCCGTTAATTAACCAACTATCACACTCGCTACATTGACACAAACTGACACTAGCGTTACACCAAGAAGATGGATATTTTCCCCAAATTTACATTTGAATTAAATTATGAGAGGTCATCAGGAGAGGACGAGGAAAAGGAAAGCCAGGAATCTTCTGTGCAGACCTCCGGGTGTGTTTGTGTTACATCAGCCGACTTCGACAAACTGGAGAGGAGCAAAAATTAAGCGAAAACGGTCAGGAATTATCAATGATCATCTGATGAGGTACTGATGAGGATGAGGGAGAGTGGAAGCTGAATCCGACTGTGCCAACATCCAGGTTTGCCAACGTTTCATCAGCTGAACTGGACGAAGTTCCACAGCTGCAGATCAATGTAAATACAAAGTAGCTTGTGAGTTCCTGGTGTGTGTGCCACGTTGCCTGGCAACAGACTGGGGGAAATGTTTGTTTTTCGCGGAGCTATAAAACATCCTTAATTTATTTCATCACCTTTTGTTAACATTTCCTTACTCAGCATTGCTGTTTAAGCTTTTGTTGAACTGTTGTATAAAAGCAATATCACATGAGAGCGAGTGATGTTGTACTGTATATCGTCATGGCTGCAATCCGTCTGCGCAGTGCGACGCACAGCCTAGGAAACAGAAATACTGCAAAAATAATAATAATAACGCGACCAAACATTATAACGTTATTTCGTCTTGTCTCGTTTTGGTCAACAAAAATGAAGAGACATTTTAGCAGAGGTTTTATTTTGTAAACCACATTTAGTCTCGTTTTTATTCGTCAATAATATTGCATTATATATTTAATTATAGTTATCGTCACATGACCACCATTTACGTTGCGTCGCGTCTCGTTTTCGTCACATGATAAAGGTTCATTGACGACAGAGATGGGGACTTGAGTCATTTTGACTTGGACTCGAGTCGACTCGAGTCGCTGTTTTGATGACTTGTGACTTGACAAAAAATAAAAGACTTGAGACTTGACTCGGACTTGGAAGTTAAAGACTCGAGGCTTGACTTGAGACACGATGACTTGAATGACTTGAGTGTTATTCACATAATGTTTTCAGTTTGAATATAAAATTAATAAATTAATTTAGAAAATAATGTTGATTACCCGGTAGGAGCGCAGGCTGAGAATGGCGTTGTCATGATTGGATCACTACCCTGTCAATCAGTCATGCCCTCTCTACGTACCTTATGTGTTTATTGGAGAAACAGGCCCTCCTATATCAGATAGGCATCAACATGTCAGCGGGAGGGGTACCGAGAGTCATCATCTTCGGCTTTCGGAATTACCATTATGACGGCAAAAGACGAACAGCACAGTGCAAGACATGCACCATAAACATCTTGGACAGCCAGACGACAACTTCAAAATTTGTTTGTCATTTGAAGAGCCATTCTGCCCAGTAAGTGCTTGTCAATTAGCTAATATTATCTGGTTCGTCGGTAGTTAGCTATCGTTAGCTGGATACGATACAGGGGTGGGGGGTCGGTTGTTTTTTAATTTATTTGCTAAAATTAACCCCAGAAAACGTGAGCGAACATTCCGACCGGTTCATCACAAGACCACCTGTACGTTAACAAGCAACACAGGGTTAAATGAGCTAAATGGGTGATTTCGGCCGCTGCCTTGGTTAGTGTGTGTGTGTGTGTGTGTGTGTGTGTGTGTGCGCGCGCGCGTGTGACAGTTACTTATATCTTGTCTTTTCACTTTATTAAGATCAGATTCTGCAGGTAAAATTACAATAATAAGGTGACTTGACTTGGACTTGGACTTGACTTGACCTATTACAGGACTTGACTTGACTTGACTTGACATAACCTGTGACTTGACTTGACTTGACTTGCCCAAGAAAAAAATGACTTGGGACTTACTTGAGACTTGAGGGTTAAGACTTGAGACTTACTTGAGACTTGCACATGTGTGACTTGGTTCCATCTCTGGTTGACGACAATATTTAGTCATACTTTTCGTTGACAAAAGCAACACTAGGCTAACACCACATAGAGCAGACAGGGAGGCTGCATCATCTGGTAAGCTCCGGCAATATACACAAACAATTCATGGTGCTGTGATGTGAAGAGATCTTCCAGTTCTGCTCTCAGGGTGTGGAGTTTTTGACTGTGAAGTGTTGACCCTTTTCATCTTACTATTGCACTATATGTTCTTTCTCATAGGGATGTCACGATACCAAAAATTCAGTAGTCGGTGCCGATACCAGTAAAATTACACGATTCTTGATACCAAAGTCGATACCATGGTAAAAAAAAAATAAAAAAATAAAAAATTAAAAAATCCTAAGATCCCATGTGCTTAAACAAGAAATACTTTATTAAAATATTTGCATATAAAATAACGTCTCTATCAACAGATTGATATTACTTATATTTTTCCTTTTTCTCTTTTCCTCTTTACCTATTTTTTGTTGTAAAAAACATTGATCAACATCCGCAATAAACTCAATAAACTATTTAAATATTTACTATTTAAATCACGCTGACAGATTTTGAGCCAACCACAAGAATGTGTGGAATTTCGTCGGCTTTACTGTTTGTCCTGTCCAGGTGCAAACAGCGTTTTTTAACATCCGTGGTCCAGTTGTGGAAAAATCAAACGTCCCAGTACAATAAATCAAATGCACCCCAAGCGCTGTGTTTCGGAAGTAGACGGGCATACGCGCTGTTCTCTGTGTTGTTGAAATTAAACAAAATAATATGGAACATATCTGCTTATTATGCTACTGATTTTAATTGGGATATTTTTTGATGACCT